AGAATAGAATAGAATAGAATAGAATAGAATAGAATAGAATAGAATAGAATAGAACAGAATAAAACAGAATAGAATAAACAGAATGGCTGTGCTCTTACCTTTCTCCCTAGGCCCATATTATGACTGTCATGGGGACCTGGGCCAGGTCCAGCACATTTATCACCAAGATTTTGGACAGCTATTCAGTGGCCTACGCAGTGGTCATGTTGCTCACCCATTGCTGTAGAGTTGGAACAGACTCCTAACTGAGCATCCATTGAGTTTAGAAGCTGTAGGTTGCCAGGGAGGAAACTGGATTCTGACTGCTACAAGATGTGAATTTCTGAGTTATCTACACAATTCCCTAGACCTATGCTACCAGAGCTTCCTTACTGAGTACCACAATTATTATGAGCTCAGACCGATAGCTTGACTCCACCCAGAAGAGTTCCAACAAGAGAAAAGGCCTGCAATTTACTTCTGAGTCACAGCCACTGAAATCCAGAGCACAACTCTAGCACAAATTTTTGTTATTGCTATATACCATATACCATGAAGTTGGAGCTGGCCTCCAGTGAGTTTTCAGAGACAATAAACTTATCTTCCCCTCATTTTTCCTATCTTTCTCCAGTAAAGTAGCTGGTAGATTTGAACCTCAGGCCTTTGGGCATCTCCTTACCACTAGACTATCAGAGCTCCGTAACACAATTGTTGTTTTTTGTTGTATGCCATCAGATTGGAGCTGATAGCCAGCCCCCCCATGCAATAAATTATAGGGTTACTGCAAGTCAAATTGACTCTATGACTTTTGTTTTGTGTACCAAGAACTGTGAGAGCTTATAAATACAAGTCCCCTTCCATCACATGTACAAATCAGGTATCGAGATGAGTCTAAAAGCAAAAATCATTTGAGATTATTGGTAATGGAATAGGACTCCACAAAGGACTGCTTGGAGTCAGAGACAGTTCAGAAGCAGGAAGGTGCTGCTTGTTGGGAAGTCTGGTGCATCAGTGATTTGTAGGCTGGAAGGTCCCCATGAGACACTGAAGGCAAATAGAAGATGTTTAGCTGTGTTTCCAGAAAGCATTGCCTCAGCTTTTGTGTACACCTCAGAGGACTTCTGCAATGCTGATGAATTCTCAGTGTGGTTATAGTAATCCAATAGCTACCGGAATGCAGACTTACTCAAATGAAAACAATTTCTGCATTTCTCCTATCTCAACTCAGAGCAATGAAAGCTCACAGAAGCTCCCATAATATCCTGTTCATTCTTTTATCCAACAAATATTTATTGAGTGCACATGATGTACCAGGTCCCAAAGATACATTATAATTTTTAGAGGTCAAGTTGATGATAGGGTATAGTTACTGATCCAGAAACATCCTGGCTAATGTCTTGTGGTTACTCCGAATATCAGTCTTCTTCCAACTTCACTTTATTCTCTGGGTTTCTCCAAGAGAGCTCATGGCAAGCTCATTGTTGTGTCGGGGTGTTGGGGCTTGTACTGGAAATCCTTTTCCTGGGCTTTTGGGAATGGGAAGCATAACAAGGAATCCCCCATCAGACAACTAAGTGGGCTCAGTGTTTGAACCTGAGCTGTAACTTTCATTAACAAGGGAGTGGCACATGTGAGGGAGGGAACCCAGTACTTGGCTCTGAGGATGGCGTTCCTAAATATCTAGACTGACTTCAGAGACCACAATAGTAGATATTTTAAGGAGGTTGTTTAAGGACGCCTTTTTTCCAATTTTAAAATTCACATTCAGTCCCTACCTTGTTGTAGAGTTGTTGTTGTTGTTATGTGCTGCCCAGTTGGAACAGACCCATAGCTGACCCTCTGGCGGCTTGTCAGAGGCAGTCAAGTACACTGGAGGAGATCACCCATCTTTCTGCCTCCGGGCAGCTGGTGGAGTCCAGCAGCCTGACCAAGGGCTGACAGCACAACTCCTTACCACTAGACCATCAGAGTTCCCTCTTTAATACAGTTGTTGTTATATTGAGTTGGGACGGATACATAGCTGACCCTTCAGCAGGTTTTCACAGGCACTGGAGGTGATCGCCCATCTCTCTCCCATGGAGCACGTGGTGTATTCAAACCATGTACCTTAGCATCGGCAGCACAGTTCCTTACCACTTCTGACTCACAGGTACCCAACGGAGCAGAACTGCCACGTTAGCTTTCCAAAGCCACACATCTTTTGGAAAGCTGAGTGACACATCTTTCTTACACAAAGTTATTGCATAAAATCACCCTGGTTAACAGCACAGCATTTAGTCACGGTACCACCAGGGCCCGAGAGACCTGATTAAATGATTGTAGAATTCACAGCCTTCTTGACAAGCTCAACAGTGAGGGGGAAAGGGCAATATAATGTGAGAAAGGAGGGGAGTAGTGAGCTACCACACAATGGGAGGCTTGACTCTTCCACGCTAGTGGAGTCTCTTGAATGTCACCTTTGCTTTCGGTCCACGGGGCTGACATCCAGACAAAGCCTTCAGATGAGCACTCAGAATGTGCTCTGTAAAGTCCGAGATCACGAAGATCAACAATTTTCAAATACAGAGTACAGTGCCCAGGGCATGTAGATCTCTCTGTTGAGTCAGGGCTGTAGTGGTCATTTTGGCCCATATTTCCTGATGTAAGGGAGATGTGTTTCCACTTCCATGAGTGGACTCAGTAACACCAATGAATAAGTGTTTTACTTATTGAACATTTATTGACTTCTGTGTGCCTATTTTATGACCAGCTACATACTCAGTATCTCTTGCATCCCTCCAAAAAATTTTCTTTCTCTTTCCTTATCTCAACAAATCTCATAATATGCTGTCGATTGCTGCTGTTCCTAGGGGCCGTCAAGTCAAGTACAACTCACAATGAACAAGAGATCTGAACCCTGTCCTGTCCTGTGCCATCCTCACAATCTCTGACACACTTGAGCCCATTGCTGTAGTCACTGAGTCCGTCCGTCTGGTTGAAAGTCTTCCTCTCTTTTGCTGCCCCTCTGCTTTTCCAAGCATGATGTCACTTTCCAAGAAATATCCTCTCCTAGAAACATGCCCAAAGTATGTTGAGGACAAAGCTTTATCATCTCGGCCTCCAAGGAACACTCTGGGTGCACCTTCGTCAAGACATATCTGTTCTTTTGGAAGTCCGGGGGATATTCAGTACCCTTCTACAACACCAGAACTCAAAGGCATTATCTTTCCTCTGTTATTCTTATTCATTGTTCAGCTTTCAGATGCACAGGAAATGATTGAAAGATACATGGCCTGAATCAGGCGCACCTTGGTTCTTAAACCGACATGCTTATTGATAAATGTTGTAAATGAGGAACTCAGAGACATTGAGAAACTTGCTCAAGGTCACTCAGTTTGTAAATGGTAGAATCAAAACCCGGTCTTTAAATTAGTAGGTTCTTTCCAGGCAGGAGCCCTGGTTGTATAGTGCACATTGTATCAGAGTGCTAACCTGATAGTTGGCAGTTTGAAGCCACCAGTCACTTGTCAGGAGAAAAATTTCCTGTGTATCAAAATTTACAGCCTCTGAAACCTTCTGGAGGGTCGTGTGAGTCAGTACTGACTCAGTGGCAGTGGGCATGGCTTTCGGTTTATTTTTTGCACCACAACATACTGCTGTGTAGCCTAATTCAAAGCCGCTTTGTTTTGGTTGTTGTTTTTTCTCCTGACCAAATCCTGAGTCGTTAGACTTCAGCTTCAAAATTTCTCACTTGAGGCCCATGATTTCTGACATTACAGCTCACAGGTACTGCCGTTCAAATGCACGTTCTGTTCTGTATAGCACTAATATCATAGCATTAATAGTACTATAAATGAGAGCTAATGTTATGT